TTCACACCACCCACCCAGCACCTGCACATCCTGGAATTGCAGAGAAAGCCCGCCACAAGTTGAAAGGAAAAGCAAACCTGTCTCTGTTCCGATATTATATGGTCATAGACAGAGAAAATCTTAAAGAATCTGCAAAAAAAATTCCCTGAACAAAAACAGAGATTGTTCAAACTAAGAAAATCAAGGACATTTGAACATATAAGCACCAAACAATTAGAAAATTAATTTTGAAAGGGAAAAACTTGTGAAGACATAAACAGCAATCAGGATGTACCTAAGAAGAAACATAAAACGATGCGTGAGATCTTCACCGCGAAAATTGAGAAACGTTCTCAGAGGCTACGAGCACATGAGGAGACACAACACGTACTGGACCATGGACTGGAAAACTTAGTGTAATGAAGATGCCAGCTTTCCCTGAATAAAATCCATAGTTTACATGTAATCCAAGTCAAAATAGCAACCCCATTACTGGAATTGTTCCAGGGTATGTAAGTACACATGCTCCAGTGACGCAACAAATGCTTAGTGATCAGAAGCAAGTACCTTAAATGTCTGATAACACCTTTCACACAAAAGCTGCTGCACGCCTCTCAGCTAATAATTCTTTTTTTTTTTTTTTATTGCATTTTAGGTTTTGGGGTACATGTGATGAACATGCAAGATTGTTGCATAGGTACACACATGGCAGTGTGCTTTGCTGCCTTCCGTCCCCTCACCTGTATCTGTCATTTCTCCCCATGCTATCTCTTCCCACCTCCCCACCCCCCGCCCCTCCCCCATTTCCCCCCAACAGACCCCAGTGTGTAGTGCTCCCCTCCCTGTGTCCATGTGTTCTCATTGTTCAACACCCGCCTATGAGCGAGAATATACGGTGTTTGATTTTCTGCTCTTGTGTCAGTTTGCTGAGAATGATGGTTTCCAGGTTCATCCATGTCCCTATAAAGGACGTGAACTCATCGTTTTTGATGGCTGCATAATATTCCATGGTGTATATGTACCACATTTTCCCTGTCCAGTCTATCATCGTTGGGCATTTGGGTTGGTTCCAGGTCTTTGCTATTGTAAACAGTGCTGCAATGAACATTCGTGTGCACGTGTCCTTGTAGTAGAATGATTTATAATCCTTTGGATATATACCCAGTAATGGGATTGCTGGGTCAAATGGGATTTCTATTTTTAGGTCCTTGAGGAATCGCCACACTGTCTTCCACAATGGTTGAATTAATTTACATTCCCACCAACAGTGGAAAAGTGTTCCTATTTCTCCACATCCTCTCCAGCATCTGTTGTTTCCCGATTTTTTAATGATCGCCATTCTAACTGGTGTGAGATGGTATCTCAATGTGGTTTTGTTTCAGCTAATAATTCTTAAGCTTCGTTCAGACCCTGCAGCCTGAGCGAAGGGATTTCTGACCTTCGGAAGTCTCAATTCTAACTGAGGACTTCACAGGAATGGGAAAAGGTCCCATGGATTTCAGGGTGGGGGTGGCGAGCTTTTCCAAGGGAAAGTCATTTTGTAGAGAAGGTTCCCTTGTCTTAGTAAAATCAAATAGTTTTGTTTCGCAGATGGGGATTACCGACTGATAAAGGCTTCCTAATGTGAGAAGTTTTTCTGCTGTATTCCCCTTCTAGGTTCCTATGTGAGGACGGTTTGGCTCTGTGTCCCCACCCACAGCTCATCTGGAACTGTAATTCCCATGTGTCAGGGGAGGGGCCAGGTGGGAGGTGATTACGGGTGTCTGCCACTTGCCCAGCTCAGTTTTGTATTTTCAGTAGGGACAGGTTTTGCCATGTTGGCCAGGCTGTTCTGGAAGTCCTGACCTCAGGTGATCAGCCTGCCTCGGCCTCCCACAGTGCTGGGATTACAGGTGTGAGCCACTACACCTGGGCCCCAGGCTACACTTCATTCATTGCTTAGGGTAGGTTGGGAGCAGCCTTAGTCCTCAATTAAGGGGCCCAGCTGCTCAGGAGATTGCCTTCCGGAGACGACTTCGCGCCCCACCTGACTCAAGGTCTTTCTACCTGGCTGGTAGCAACGCACACTGCTTTCCTTGTGTGGGCCCGGCACGGGTGTTGGTCCACAGGTTTCTGGTGATTTTCCCCCAATACTGAGTAGTTTCTTTTCATGCACGCGTAGGTCAGTTCTCAGCCCCAAACTTGAGGGCTCCCCTTCCCGCCACAAGTCTGCAGCTGCCACCCACTGGCTGCACAGCAGGCAGCTCCCCAGTCTCCGGGCTTCAGGCAGCTGCTGCCTTGAACTCTGCTCTCTGTCTGCTCACCTCACTATGCCTTTCCCCGCGTCCTGGCCGCGGCTTTCAGGCAATAGCAGGATTTGTGAGTTCGTTTTTCTTTTCTGAGGGGTTAGGATCCTGCGATGCTTGTTTTCAAATATTGGTAAACTACTGTTTTTTTTGTTTGTTTGTTTGTTTGTTTGTTTTTCCTTTGAGAGAGAGTTTCCCTCTTGTTGGCCAGGCCGGAGTGTGTAGTGGTGCCATCTCGGCTCACTGCAACCTCCCGTCCCGGCTTCAAGCCATTCTCCAGTCTGAGCCTCCTGAGTAGCTGGGATTACGGGAGCCCGCCACCACCCCTGGCTAATTTTTGGTATTTTAAATAGAGATAGGGTTTCACCATGCTGGCCAGGCTGGTCTTGAACTCCTGACCTCATGTCATCTGCCCACCTTGGCCTCCCAAAGTGCCGGGATTACAGGGGTGAGCCACTGCGCCCAGCCTGAAAACCACTTTTTAAAAACATTTTCACCTCAGTTCACCTCAGTTTTCTATTTGTTTAAAGAATGTGGGTAAGTGCATTTGACACCACCATGGCTTGAACCAGCGTTTAAAATTCTATGTTAGAACCTGTTAGACAGAGTGTAAACTGATCCTGAACTCAAATGCAGGACAGTTACACAGAGTTCCTTTTTACATGAGGTTACAGCCCTTGCGTTTTGCTCAGCGGGCACAGGCTGAGAGCTGCCTGGGCTTTTGTGGCTGTGGCCGAGGCCTCTTGCCCGGGCCACAACAGCACCGCCCCCCGCCCTGTCCCCTGCCCCCGGTAAGCCGGGAATTTCTCACGGGTCTCCTTATAACGGCAATGTTTCTACAAGCCCACGCCAGAGAAGTATTAAGCACTCCTCAGTGTTTAACTTAGTCAGCGAGAGGCAGGGAATGACTTTCTCTGCAGGGTGATGATTAAAAAGAAAACTCTGAAGGTGAGAGGTGCAGTGAGAGGCCGTTGGCTCAGGGAAAAGAAGACCAAATACCTGACTCCCCCGGAGGTGTCTGCCCTGACTCCTCACCCCACCTGCTCTGGGGCCACCCGTGGTCTGGAGCGCCACCTGCTGGTCTGTGCTTATGCAGGGAGTTTGGGTGGCTCCCACTGAGGTCCCCATTCTGTGTCTCCCACGGGAATATGTGGCCGTGCCCTTGGCCGTCACGGAGCTCAGCTTTGGGGATAACTGCGCCTCGGATGTGTCTGTGCAGGCCGAGAGCTGGCCTGGAAGGGCGGGCTGACGTGTGTGCTGCCCCTGGATCTGAGCTGCCCCGTCCACTGCAGCACCTTCCCAGAGTGTGGCGGGGACCAGGCCCAGAAGTCCGTGAGGACCTGGCCAGCCCTGGGCATGAGTCTAGTGGCCGCACCTGCTGCAGGACACTCAGGGACAAGAAGCCAGAGATGAGTCACAGACGCACCACAGCCCATAGCCCCGGTTGTGAAATCTCTGAGACTCGCGTCCAGGCACAGCCATCAGGCAGAGACAACACACAGAGATCTCACACTCTCCTCGGCAATGGGCTTGACCTTCCCAGCGGCCTTCCCAGGACAGAGCAAGAAAAGGTAACTGGCCCTCCCTAGCCAGAGGTTGCATTTCACTGGGTCTCTGTGGCTCAGGAAGAAACTTCTCTCCCCTCATGTCCTTGTTATCCCTGACACAGTGGAATCAGACTGGGCACCATTTCAGGGGGAAAAGAAGGGAAGAGGTGCATAAAGGCATGGCATGGTGGCAGCTGGACCCTCCCCCATCAGATGGCTCCAGGGGTAGAGGTGGGCTCTTTTTAGGAGGGTGCTCAGACCACACAGCCAAATTGCTCCTCAACCCTAGACAAAGCCTTGACCAAGAGGGAGGTGCTGTTAGCTGGGCAGCCCTTCTGGGTTTCAGAGACTGGTGTTGGCTCCAGTCTGGTCTCATCTCCATTACCTTAATGACAGGTGGCCCAGGAGTACCCATGCATAGCAGCTGTGGGGTGTGGACATCTTCAGATGTTCTGGTAAAATTGTGAGATTAGCTGTATGAAGGAAACCAGTGGGAGGACAGGAACTTTTCAGGATGGCGAGATTTGATTCAGACACAGTGCACACGCTGCTAGGGCTGTCACTGGGCAGTGGCCTCCATGGAGAGTGGTACCAGCACCTCAGTCCATCCAGGATATTTAGAAACACTCCATCTCTGGTCCCAGAGAATGGCTTCTCAGGGCATGCCACAAGTTAAAGTCACCTGCCTGGAAGATGGATGAGAAAGCTGTCCATTCTCAAGACCCATCTGCCTAGGGAGGGTCACAGAGGCAGGATGTAAGCCACACTGTATTGCATTCTTGTATAAGTCATGAAAATGGGGCCAGAGAAGGAGCCTGGACATCAGGGACTTCTGCCCACAGCACATGGCACCCACAGCTGCCCAGCCTGTCCACATGCTGGGGCCCAGCACAGCTCCTGAAGCCACATGGGACAGTGGGCTTTGTTCACTATAGCCACAGGCGGATGAAAGGGATCTTTTGCATTGCAGAGATTTTATATATATATATTGTTTGTATGAACCATTCTCAATAAATTCTCACTGCAAAAAAAAAAAGTTAAAAACAGTAATGCCAACATTGAATTTATTTATTTTATTTTTTATTTTATTTTATTTTATTTTACAGAACTCAGGGTCTATTTATTAGGAAGGAGATGTCAGTGCTTTACCAAAGATGAAGGGGTCACAGAGGGACGACGAAACAGGCCCTCAGCTGGGACATTTCTTGGCCACAATGAGGACAGCAGAAGGCACAAGTCCCAGCTCCTGCAAAGACCGCTCCATGTCAGCTTCTGAGAAGGCCCATCTGGGGAAGCCACTGAGCAATTGCACACGGTCTTGGCCCCCTCCCGGTTCCTCTCCACGGTGGAGCTCCACATAGAGCCTCACGGCTGCCAGCTGCTCCCGGGCCCGGAACGTCTGGGTCAGTGAGGTCCCATCTGGCAGCCTGACCCGTATGCGACACTGGTCATACTCTCGCTTGGTGGGAGGCTCCTGGCTGGAAGAGGAGGGAACAGGACCTGGCTCTGGTGTCGGTGGAGGTGGCTGAGAGCCCACACTGCCACCATACTTCTTGGCTCTCTCTGCTTTGTCCCTCTCGATCTTTTCTCTAACTCTTTGCCTGGCTGCTAACTCCTCGGCCTTTTCCCTCCGCCTCTCCTCAGCAGCCCGGTGCATAATGCTGGAAAGAAACTTGGTAGACGTTGAGATATGTGTTCCAATTATGAAAAACAGTTACAAGGAATTCAGATTCAAGAGGCAGAAACAAGAGACCAGGTGAAAAAACTACAGCTGATGCTAAGACAAGCTAATGACCAGTTAGAGAAGACAATGAAAGATAAGCAGGAGCTAGAAGACTTCATAAAGCAAAGCACTGAAGATTCCAGTCACCAGATTTCTGCACTCGTTCTAAGAGCCCAAGCATCCGAGATCTTACTTGAATAATTACAACAGGGGTTTTCCCAGGCAAAGAGGGATGTTCAGGAACAGATGGCAGTGCTGATGCAGTCACGGGACCAGGTTTCAGAAGAGCTGGTGAGGTTACAGAAAGATAATGACAGTCTCCAGGGAAAGCACAGCTTGCATGTATCATTACAGCAAGCAGAAGACTTCATCCTCCCAGACACCATAGAGGCACTGCGGGAATTGGTATTAAAATACCGTGAGGACATCACTAATGTTCGGACAGCAGCAGACCACGTGGAAGAAAAGCTGAAGGCTGAGATACTTTTCCTAAAAGAGCAGATCCAAGCAGAACAGTGTTTAAAAGAAAATCTTGAAGAAATTTTGCAGCTAGAAATAGAAAACTGCAAGGAGGAAAGAGCTTCCATTTCTAGCTTAAAAGCTGAATTAGAAAGAATAAAGGCAGAAAAAGGACAGTTGGAGTCCACATTGAGAGAGAAGTCTCAACAGCTTGAGAGTCTTCAGGAAATAAAGACCGGTTTGGAAGAACAGTTACAGAAAGAGACTGCTGCTAAGGCCACCGTCGAACAACTAATGTTTGAAGAGAAGAATAAAGCTCAGAGATTACAGACAGAATTAGATGTCAGTGAGCAAGTCCAGAGAGATTTTGTAAAGCTTTCACAGAGCCTTCAGGTGCAGTTAGAGCGGATCCAGCAAGTGGACTCCTTGGAGAGAATTCGGGCAATTCTGAATGATACGAAACTGACGGACATTAACCAGCTCCCTGAGACATGACACCCTGATGGCAGGATTCTAGCCTGCACTTTGGGTTTTTAACTCATCTTTCGAGCAATATTAATTGGTATTTAACTCTTACCTGAAGAAAGAGAAGTCACAACAAAAGGAAGACTGGAGAAATGCCTACTTCTAGAAGGAGAAGACTGTGCAGCACAGGAAACAGAAACAGTGGGGCGATCTACAGCCAAGAGACCTTCAAATAGGAACACTAATGAGATTCCAGGATTGATTCCAACAGGCGTGGGATCAGATTTGGTGATGGAAAAAGTGCTGTGTCCTTGCCTGCTTTCTCCCATAGATTTTTGGAACACGTTTCCCTACCCTAAAGCGACATCCCAGTAGTGTTTTTATTGTCTGTTCATAGATATTGGGAGAGAGAATTTGCTTTACTTGTTGTCTAGAGCTCATCAGTAACAGCATTCAGTTAGCAGACAGAGGTGTGTAGTATGATGTATGAATATTTTATATTAAAATATGAAGGTTTGAAAAAAAAAAAAGAAGAAGGACACGGAGTGAGGGCTGGATGGTGGAAGCTGTTGAAGGGAGTCGAAACTCTCCAGGGGAAGGGACGCCTCAGGGAACGCTGGCATTGTTTTCTTCCCTTTGCAGGGAGTGATGAATGAGCTGAGTCTAAGTACAGCCTCAGACACACAACCCTAATGTGACATATAGGGGAGCAACCTCATCAGCCCCAAAGACAGGGCAGCTCCTTGTCCTTCTGCAGAGAAGTGGCAGGGACTCGGAGGGCACTTTCCCTGCCCAGCAGGTGGTGCTGCCTCCCTGTTCCCGGCCCAGCATAGCCTTGGGTGCAGCTGCAGTCTTTCCCGGGGTCCCTGGAGAGCGTCTTCTTGGTACTTCCTTAACATCAAACAAAGCAAACGCCATCTCAATGCACATCTCAATTCATCATTGGAAAGGCCAAGACACAGACACACACAGACAAACACACACACACACACACACACACACACACACACACACAAAATTTATTTTTCTGACAAGAGCTAGAGATAATTGATAAGTACGTTATCTGACTGCAGTTTACCTTAAGGAGAAAAAAATTATTAAGAATTTTCTTAACCGTAAACTGTGCCTAATTATGAGTAAATTAGCAACAGAAGTAATAGTAATAATTGCAGTCTACTTACACACTTTAAAAGAATACATCTACTGTGCTGGAAACTTTCTTCTCACCAACCACTGTAAGTTAGAGAATGTTTTCTACACCTTATGACAAAATGTTATAGCTCATTCTCTTACTGCAGAATACTCTGTAATGTGGGTGCCCTGTTTTTAGAATTTAAAATTACTATCAATTGCCATTTTTTCTTTCTAATTTACAAAGAAAAGAAATTTAATTGACTCACAGTTTTGTGTGGATGATGATGTTATTGACTATCACTATATGGAAGTAGCTTTTTTCTAGAAGCTTAAGAATATTTCAAATCATCTGCTCTCTAATCTTTTGAATTACACGAGTGAGAAACCGATGTAAGTACTTCAAGGAGAACGTGACCCTGCATTATCTGGGTGGCTATGATGTAATCACAAGAGTGTTTATAAGCGGAAACAAGAGAGCCAGAGTCAGGAGGGCTGATGTGACGATGGGGGCAGAGACTGGCAGGACGACCTTTGAAGATGGAGGAAGGGGGCGCAGAGCGAGGATTATGGGTTCCAGAATCCGGAAAAGGCATGAAAGCAGAATCTCCCTCCTAGGGTTCAGAAGGAACCAGCTCTGCCGACACTTGGCCTTTAGACTAATAAAACTGCAGGATGTCCAAGAAACCTCTTTCTCACACAGAACACAGTCCGTATGCTCTGTGACACGGGTGGGTTTGAGAGTTGCAGGAGACTGCAAGGCCTCTGGCTGAGACAAGGCAGGAATTAGGTGGAGCAAGAAGGTGGGTGGACAAGACCTGATTTTCACTGGTGTAAATGTGAGGCACTGATGAGATTTCCAGGTGGAGACAGAGGGAGGAGTTGTGTGTTCAAGACTAGAATGCAACTGGTAGGTTGGTCTGAGCCTGAGAAAGGTGGGCATTCTCCAGGGATTTAGAGTGGGAAAAAGTGAAGAGTGGCTTAGTGTTAACAGCTAAGTGAGAGGTTTCTAGGGGTGTAGGCTCACAGAGCCAGCAATGGCTTATGGTAGGGCTTGTAGCCCCCGTCACTGAAAGGATCTTCTCAGCCTCTCTCTGCATATGCCCCTGGGGCTGAGTGCCTGAGTCGGGTGGTCACTGGCCATTCCCTCAGAGGCCCTAAGCACCTGCTGCAGCCCAGTTACTCCTGGACCCTTTGGAGGGGAAGTTTGTGTTTGGAATGGAGCTCAGCTGCAGCGAAAACAAGGGATGTTTTTCTTGTTTGGAAAGGTTTTGCTCTGCCACCCATGCTGGAGTGAGGTGGTGTCACCACAGGTCACTGCAGCCTCAAACTCCTGGCCTTAAGCCATCTTCCCACCTTGACCTCTCAAAGTGTTGCGATTACAGGTGTGTGCCAGTGTGCCCAGTGAAAAACAGGTTCTTGCCCGGGCACAGTGGTTCACGCCTGTAATCCCAGCACTTTGGGAGGTCAACGTGGGTGGACTGCTTGAGCCCAGGAGTTTGAGACCAGTCTTGGCAAGGACTCTACCAAAAAATACAAAAATTAGCCATTCTTATAACCTGGTCTCTAAATAGATAGATAGATTTTCTAATAAATAAAGAAAACAGGCAGCAGTTTCTTAAACTTTAACAGTCAGAACTCATTTAACAAAAAATGACTAAGAGTCCCACACAATCTTGAATCAATTGCATGGTTTTGGGTCACACAGGTGGGGGGCTGTCACCCTGTCTCTGCATCTGTCATGGAGGCCAGAAGTCAGCAGGGCAGACATTGGGAAGGGAAGAAAGTGGGCAAGCTGGAGTGGACAGAGGCAGCAACGGGGATGGGCTGCACACAGAGGACAGAGAAAGCCAGGTTGTCTCTCATGCCCTTTCAAGGCTCTGGAGGGAGCCCTTTAACCGGTTATCTTCCAATACATGTAATTATCAGGCTGGAGTGTGAAACTGGAGTTCTCAGCCTGACTGAAAGCTGTAAAAGTTTCTACAATCTTATGGTGATTAGTTTTTATAGCTTTAATAAGCTCCAGCAATACGACTAAGTCAGAGACTTGATTTAGGATTTTGATTTTAAGAACATTTGTTCTAGATGCTAAAGTCTCCAAACATTTAATCCAAACAGAATCACAGGCCATTGAAAATAATAGTTACTAATTTAACCAAAGTGTTAATCAAGAAGACTATGGAGGTGAGTCAAGATGGCTGACTAGATGCAGCCAGGAGGGACATCTACCACAGAGAGACTGGGACATTGCGAAGGCTGGTGCATTCCGAGCAGATCTCAAGGGAAGTCATTGAGAGTGGATTGAGAGAGGATGAGGGAGGACCCAGATGCTGGGCTGAAGGTGGAGGAAGCTGGGAACCATGCATGGGGATGCCAACCACCAGGATTCACTCCTGGCTTCCAGCAATCCCTGGGGAAGTAGAACAGGTGAAGAATGGCCCACTCTTGCCATGGGCCTCCAGAATCCTAGCAGCAGGAGACCTCATGATGCCCATGGACACTTGGGCTGACAAGGCCAGCTGCTTAGAGAGATGGCAGGGCAGGACTCCTGCCTGTGTAAAGCCCCGAGTGTCTGACCTGGGAATGGCTGTAGTGGAGCACAGCCAAGGGACACCTGTCCCCCCGGGCTCACCAAGCTCCTCTAGGAGACGTTAACCTTAAAGTGGCTACTGGACCTGAATAAAGCAGGCTGATCTTGTCTATAGGACTGGGTCCATCTGAGCTGAGTATTTCCTTGCTTTCTAGCCTCTTCTGGGTCCCCAGACTGGCTGTGCCTACTTGCGGTACAGCCTTGGAAGCACAACCAGGCTGTTTCCCGGGGGCCACCATCAGAGCTCCTTTACCAGCAGACCATGCCTAACCATTGGAGAGCTCCATCAGGCCAGCCCCTGCAGATGTGCACCAATCCACCCATAGCACCTCCCAACTGCTTTGCTGGCATGAGTGCATGGTGGATCACAACTTAGGAATGTGCATGTGCACCCTGCTACCCTGTCCCCATCAATATGTGGGCACCTCACTAGACTGTGACTGCCAGCAGGAACCTGTGCACAGATAATGCCACCCTGCTCCTGAGAGTACTCCACCTTAGCAGGTGAATGTGCACCCTGTCACATCACCACAACTGTGGGCACCGGTCAGTGAGAATGGATCCCACTGCCACCACTCTGATGAAGTGCTTTAGCTGGCACCCCATTTCATAGTGTTGTGGCCAATGGACTGAGAACACCTCAGCCCCTCCAATGCAGCAAGTTTTGAAACTCAAGGGGTCAAAGAACAAAGCCCGGGGCCCAGTTCCAGAGTAGAGCACGTACCCCAAGAGTGCTGAGGTGAGCCTGGATCCCCTAACGTTTTCAAGAAACACAGCTAACTGAATCCACTTTATACCACAATCAAACCTACAGGAGTATCAAAGAAGATAAAAGCAACAAACAAACAAACAAACAAAAACCAAAAAAACAACAAAAGGAAAAAACATCCAAAGGACAGCCACTTCAAGAACAAAGAAACATCAGTCCACAGAGATGAGAAAGAATTAATTCAAGAAACTCTGCAACTCTAAAATCTAGAGAGTCTTCTTACCTCCAAATGACCAACTGGTTCCATAGCAATGGTTCTTAACCTGACTGAAATGGCCGAAATGAAAGACATAGAATTCACAATATGGATAGGAATGAAGATCACTGAGATTTAGGAGAATGTTGAAACCCAGTCCCAGGAAGCTAAGAAATAAAATAAAATGATACAGAACCTGAAAAATGAAATGGTTATTTTAGGAAAGAACCAAACTGATTTGATAGAGCTAAAAAACTCATTTCAAGAATTTCAGAATATAATTACAAGTATTAACTGCAGAATAGACCAAGCTGAGGAAAGAATCACAGAGCTTGAAAACTGATTCTCTCAATTAACTCAGTCAGACAAAAATAAAGAAAAGAATAAAAAAGAAGGAATAAAACCTCAGAGAAATGTGGTATTATATAAAAAGACCAGATCGATGACTCATTGGTATCCTTGAAAAGGAGGAAGAGAAAGAAAGCAAC